CTTACTTAATAACACAAGGTATGTTTAATCAGTATTTTATCATGTATGTTTTTTATTTGTTGTATACATAACAAGCAAATTGAATACATGTCCAAGTCATTATTAATAACATTTCAACAAACTACTCAAATGAAAATGGGCTAATTTTTTTAAGGGAACAATGATTAATTCTATCACCATACAACTGACAAATGCACTAACACACAAATACATTGATGCCTAAAAGTAAATCACAAAAGTCACTGATTAAAGAATTTTATTAACTAAATGAATAAAATTAATAACGCGAAAAAAATGCTCATACAATGAGTTTCATATTTGTTTAATATGGTTAATATATGAAAGCAATACTTTCTTGCACTTAAACATTCCAGTTATTTAATAGCAACATAAGATATAACTGGTTGAATACAAATTAGGTTTATAGTTTTCTTCCATTTTAATACATAAGTGGATATATTATCATAAGGCCAGACAATTGTTTACTGTATGATTTTTCTTTGTAAGAAGTGTACTTTCCTTGCCTTCTGTCTGGCACAATGATCAATGATTCTGCTGAAATCCAAAATACGAACTGGTTTTCAATTGTAAGGATTTCCAGATTTGTCAGTCGGCTTTGGGCAATGCTGGATCGCAGATAATGTTTTATCAGTTTCAGCTTCCCCAAAGACCTGTCTCCTTCTGTAACTGTGACTGGAATTGTACAGAAAATGCGAAGAGCTACAGAAACATCTGGGAAAAATGGATATAGCTTGAAATTGTTTATTTGTGTCGAAGATCTAAAGATTTAAATCAGTACCACCAAAGTTAGCTTTGTGGATGGCCTTTAGATGTTCCGTTTCTTCTGACACGTCAGATCTACACTTGGAAACAAACTCCCTAGTTTTTGAATGTAGACTATTCTCTGGTGTATCTAGATATTACCACACAATAGTAATAAGCCCAGCAATAACAGATTCTATGATCTTATCAAATGTGTTTCGTATGAATTTTGTCTCCTCTATAGGTTAATTTTTTCACCTTTAGGCAAGAGGCCATCTTTGTTTTTATCATGAAAATACTTGCGAACTGTTTTCCTTTTTTTTTCTTTTTGCCAGTTGTGGTAGAAGATTAGTATTATTTGCAACCAATTTAGCTTCAATCCGAATTGAGCTCCAATGTTCATGCAGTGTTTCTAAATCAGTCAGTATATTTCAATGTTGCTCACTTCAATATCAATGGTAGCTTTGCACTCCCGCAATACTTGATTGCACTGATCTATAATCACAAATACCTTTAACTAGATTCCGGCCATCAAGATGCAAGGAAATGACTACACATAAATAGTTATACATTTGATTTCAGTTCTTGTTTGAGACGAAAAATTGAGTTGAATAATTTCTAATAGTGCATCCAGAATCCCAGGATGATGAACTACAAAAGGCTTTACAGTTCTGTCTGTCCATCGTGGTCTCTAAAATCCATAAAGAGAACAGCCCACATTCTTGAGAAGAATGCTCCAACACTGTGGGCTACAACTAAATAGAATGTAAAGCTTTTGAACTATTTCAAAGAATGTCTGTGCCTCTGTGCAACTTTCTGCAGCTTGTGATCCACAAAGATTGAAACTATGACAAGCACATGGTGGGAATTTAGCCAAGGATTAACTTTAAGTAAGAGAGATTGAGCACCATTGCACTCAGCAGCCACGTTGAAATCGTTGCCATATCCTTCGGCTCCGTAATTCATTATTTGTATTTCATGATCAGCTAAGCAATCTAGTAATAGATTAGAGACATCAGCCCCGTTCTTCTTGTTGCAATAAATAAATATTAGGAACCGTTCTTAAATGACAAAGGAAGAATATTCTGATAGCATGGCTATATACTTCAGATGTTGTCTGTTCTTGATGAAATGAATCAGGTGTTGCATGTACAATAATAGCAAAGTATTTTACTGCAAGTCTTACCTCTAAAATAATGTGACGTACATGCTGAGTACAGGCTGCTATGAGTTCATTCTGGGACTCATCTGACAAGTAGTGGGCTTGAGGGTGGTAAACTGCTCACTGAGGTTCTGCAACTCTCTCTACATGCTCCCTCAGAACTAAATCATAATGACTGAGCAGCTCAATTATTCTTAAAAAATTATCATTATCATACCTTACAGCGACGCAGGAACTATTTTGAATTGTAGGGTGATGAACATAATAAAAACCTAGTTTTCATATAATATGTATATAATTTCTTCAACTATATTAGGGTGTGGAAGTACCCAGGTCCACTGAGAGAGCAGAAATACGGAGGAAAAATCTCCGTGGAGATTAGAGAGAGGTGATAAAAATAAAAACAAACAATAAAGTAATTGATTAAATAACAGAGAGACAATATAACAAATACAAATAATATATAGATTGTCATTCGTTTCGAAAGGCTGGCCGCTAACAACAGGCTGGAAGAAACTTTATGATAGGCTACCAGAGCATAATGGGTGGTGTGAGTTTGAGAGACGTTTTGGAACAAACTACTGTGTTGACTTGCAGCTTGAGAAGAATATTCTTTCATGAGCAGCCAAACGGAAGGATATTCTAAATAGTATTATACATGTTGTCCCATTTTTTGGGGAGGGAGATTTAGCCTTTCGTGGATTATCACAAAGGATTGGTGCATCCTCTATGAAACAGTAGAAAGCTTTCATGATTGGACCCAGTCACAGAAAGCAACATCGAAGAGTAAAAGTAGCACATTATCTCAACTTGATTTAGTGTGTTTCACAGCAGAACTTTGCAGGGAAATTTTTGGATATAAAATATACACACTATGGAAAAGTAAGATATGTAGTACTTGCATACTAATCGCACTGTATCAATCAATTCTAAAACAAAAATGTAACAAAAATGTTTTAAATTTTTTGTCTTGTTTTAACTCTTAAAGGGTACTTTTACAAAGTGTTCCTCTGCTACATAATTTCAAAGGAAAAACATATACTTATCATTCTCAAACTTTCTTGAGGAAACGATTTCAGGTAAGAGTCAGATAAATTAGCACTCTGTTAAGTAGAAGTTATAGGTGACTTTTAATATGAAAGGTTCGTATCAAATAACAAACTCCTATCATGATCAACTAAAACTGCGGTTTTAAGCAGAACCAGCTCTTATCAGCGTAACAAGGTCAATAATAAATTTCATAAATAATTTTTCTTAACTTAGTTTGATTTATTCTTTGAAATACTATTACGAACAATTTAGTTTTTAGTTATTGTTTTCAAGTACCTTGAGTATAATGTCATAGCTGAAACAGGTATGATTTTCTGCCTTCCGTAACTAGTATAGAATACTATATAGAATATTCGGATATGTATATATAGGTACTTTTTTTCTAAATTTTCTTTCATAAGTTTTGCATATAATTATGAAATCCTAGTTAACCAAAAGTCAAAAGGTTGTAAACATGTGCTAATCCTTTCTAGGTAAAAAAGTAATATGGTGTCGGCTAGAAGCTTGCATCACTTTGGCCCTGTGTCTGCGTTCACTCCCTGGGGTGGGCAAGCCTCTCTCAAGAGATGACACGAATACTTGTGCAAATTTGTATGAGTTCGGGTTTTCCTCCCTATAAATGTTATTTGAAATGGTCGATAACATATGCAGTGTTGAATTCTGATATTCTGAGCTTTAACGTTTTTGTCCGAATTTGGTAAAGCAGAATTCTTTTTGTCTTTGGCCCATGCGGCCGATAAGAACTCACATAAGCATAGTGAATGACCTTATGTTCAAAACAACATAAGTAACCTCGAATGAGGCAAAGAGAAAAGCCTTCTTACCGAACAGTTTATGTGCCTTACATAATGACTTTAACAGCAGAGGAAAGACACGTAAAGTTCTCCGTGTGATAATTTTTATAAATCAATGGATGGAAGTTAAAAGAAATTTACATTTTATTGTTATTGGAAGTTAATATCTCAACAGTAGGGGAATCAATCAGATAATTGTGTTAGGTAATATGGCAATAGAGAGTTATTCAAGCAGTTAACCACATATGTTTGGTTAAAGTGGTATGATTAACTCAAATTGAATCAGTTTGCTTGAGAGAAAGGGATTTATGTTTAACAGTTATATCCATCACTTACATTTCTGATCAGTACTTTATTGCTTTGTTTACTTCATTTTGTTTGAGAGTTAGGCATCTGAAAAAAAAACACTCATGGAATGAGCTCAGCATTTTGAAATTTAATTATAATTCATGAATCCGATAACAGTGATGAATTTCATTGATGGTGACAGAGTGTTGATTTTGAAGGGTTTTCAAGTTTGTATGTGCGTAAGTGCAGACCTCGGGAACATACTTTTCAGCCAGATTTCACAGTAATTTTTACATCCTGAGATATTCTTTTTATACTTTCCTGTTTTGTGTCATTTAATTAAAGTTAGTGTGATGCAAAAGCCATTTGTTAATGGTAGACACAACAAAGTTATATATATACGCACACCCACACAGCCAGTATATATAAAACAGCAAATCTGTAAGTCTGTTTATATTTTACTTTTTGTTTTAACTTGTGCTTTGACTCTCTTCAAGTCAATAGATTTTTTTTTTGTTTGGAGTTAATGTTTTAAAATAAGATTTAAAGTGTAGTTTTAGGCAAGAGCTACATAAAGCGTCCTAGTTCCTCGTTGGTCTAATTCAAATAATTATTTTAGATCAATTATTTTCACCAATTAATTATCTTTCCGATTCATTCATGAACCAGAACTTTATTTCTTTATTCGCTACTCTTTTGCATAATTTGGAATGTCATACATTATATTTTATATAAAACGTAATATAAGCAGGTGCTTGAAGGGTGCGTCTTTTTTTTTTTTAGTGCCTATGTAATGTTTGTTCATGATCTTAGTTGATATAATCTTCTTAACGTATTTTATGATATCAGCCAATTGAAGTGTTTGCTTTTGCATGAGTAAAGGACGTTGATAACACTAAATAACGGCATGTGGAGCTAAGAAGCTTTCTGGCGATAGTAGTACAAGTCACATTCTTGCCTCACCAGTGTTGTTCAACTGTTGTGAATTGCTTGGTAAAGATTAGATGTTCGTCGTAGAATCCGCGTTTTTAGTTTTTTTTCTAACACACTGTTCTACGTTTTAGCTGATGAGTTTTACATTTTATGATAATTCTAGTGTGGCACCCCATTTAAGAAGTTCTGTTTCATCAGGACATTTTCTCGTCAGGTAAGCATTTAAAACGAAGGTTAAAAGCATAGCTTTTTTATGCTGAATAGCCCATTTAAAACAAACTGTGAAACTAATTCTACATGCTAATCTTAGTTTTTCGTGATATGAATTATATACCACTATAGCACATGATATTGACGTTAAATATAGAGGATGCGCTTAAATTGGGACTGAAATGATCTTTTTGTAATATCATTGTAAAATGTAAACTTTTTTATACACTTAATGTAGTCCCTTTTTCACAAGTCTACAAAATCAGTATCATAAAAATCATATCCATTGTATTAAATGTCAGTTGTATTAAAGGAAGATGAGGTAAGACGGCCACCTTAACTTTCAATGTGGTTTTCGCTAATTACGATGAATGTCATGAAAGATAAAAAGATTTTGAAATGAACCTTGTTTTATCATAAATGTCATGTCTAATTAAAACAAATATTAGACAGATCTTCTTGTGGTTGGGAACCATTTTACCCGTAAGGTGAGTTAAAACGGACCTCTAAGATGGGATAAAACGGCCCTATCTGATTAATAACAACTATAATTTCAAATAGCTGCATTTAGCAGCTACATTTCTGTCACTTAATTGCTTCCGGTACTGATCAGAAAGGTCTTCCGCAAGTTGTGCAGTATGTAAAACAATGACGCAAAGGAACGAGGGTACTCAATACCACAACTCATCAGGTGAACTGAGCATACAACACACAAAATCTCAATCGAACAGTCATTTATGAGATATGAATTCATATGGTATCTATATATGTACACACACACACACACACACACACATATATATATACAAGTGTAAAAAAAAATTAGGAAGTAGGAATACGAGCACCAAAAAGTAAAGAAACAAAGCAGGAATGGACGGGTAACATTATAACATTTAATGGTTTTTGACACGGTAGAACCTCAAAGTGGGTGTGACCATCATTCCGCCCATTCCTACTTCGTTTAGCTAATCCTTTCTAAATAATCAACAAGTTCAAAAATCTCAAAAATCAGTGGTTTTGATACAATTCATTTGGCCCACCCTTTACTAGTCAGATAGCAAAGTATGACTATTGGAATTTCCTGTTTGACTTTCAACATCAAATCCCCCTATGACGTCATGCATTGATCACATACATGTATATGCACTTCGTTGCTGAAACAAAGTTTACAACAGAGAAATTTAACTATATATTCTTTTAAGTTAGTGTGAACAATTGCAAAGTTACAAAAAGTACTGATAAACTCAGTTTAACTCTATAATTGGATCAAAGTGGAAAATGTAAAACACGAAGTAGGAATGGGCGAAACGATGACCACACCCACTTTGAGGTTGCACCATGTCAAAAAACACCAAGTATTGTAATGTTATCCTGCCTATTCCTACCTTGTTTCCTTACTTTTTGGTGTTCCCATTCCTACTTCCCAATGTTTTACTTAAAAAATGTTTCACTTGTCTCATAGTTTTTTTGTTTTTTTTTTTGTTTGTTGTGGTTTTTTGTGCTAAATCTCGAGGGTGACTGGGCTCTGGGCCTATACTTCTTGTAACTTTTCTTGGTGCTAAGTCTCGACATTTTCTGGCTTTTGCTGATATCTTTGCTATAGTTTTTCTTCCATCTACCTATGATGGCAGTTTTTTCTTTGACTGGAATAATGGCTAAGGCCTGTTTCGCATATTCAGCATTAGTGTTTCTAATCTTATCTATATTCTTGGAGTAATGCTCTTTGCGCTGGGACAAAGACTTTTCAAGGTTATCAACATAAGATTTTCTCCTTTTCTCTCGTTTTGTTTCCTTGAAAAGCATATTTTAAAAATCGCACTGTTTCAAGTACAACCTTAGTTATCAATAGGTCACACATAATTTGCAAACAATGCAAAGGTAAATTATACAACTTATCATTCTTGTTTTCAGTCCAGAGAGCTCGAGCAAAACTGTGTCAGGTTTCAGGAGTGATAGCGTTTGTCCTCATGCAGGAGACTCACGTCTTAGGCACCGACTGCTATGATATAATTTCTCTGTCCAACACAGAACCCTCGAGTCAGATGTATAGAACTGAAAACTTCACTTTCAAAGGTTAGATTATACCTAGAACCTTGATCTATAGAATCTACGTAGTCCAAGTTTTTTTTTATCTAGCTGCAGGCTGATCATGTAACGCGTGCGCATAAGTAATCATGCACCGCACGTGATATGAGGGAGGATTGGCACTTAGCAACTCACAGAGCATGCTCGTAATTGTAGAATGTGGCTACTAGTGTATTGTTAGCTGGTTAGTAGTGTTGCGAAATGGTTATTGTTATTACTTGTTCTTACCAAGGTTATAAATAAAACTAAAAAAAAACGATTTTAGCCAAGATAGTGTCATTCAATCATGTGCATTTAGGTTTGCATAAGGTGAAGGCAGAAGAGAACTATGCCTTTCCAACAATGTTAGTCAGGTTGACAAATTTGTGTTTTTTTGAAATTTTTACTGCACCGACTTTCTCAAGTGCTTTGGTGGCTTGTTACTCTGCAGTTAGTTTGTTTACCACTGAACAGTGTGTGTAAAGGGCTTATAAAATTTTGTTTATATGCTATTTGCAGTGTGTTTGAGATTTTAATTTGTATTATACATCTGCCCCATTCCTACTATAACTACTACCGTGTGATGGCGAAGTGTGATTGGTAGTTTTGTGATATAACATCACAATAAGACTGATAACAATTTTCATTAAATCTGTATTTCACACATCGCCGGCATAAGGTGTTATACAACATAATTATTAGTATCTTGTAAATGACTGATATAAATATCGTTTTGACCGAGGCTTTATGTGTTGCAGTTCAGTCTACATAATGATGAGCTCTGAAGAAATATTTGTTTTGAAAAAATTGTGATCATATTTTTTTAACGTGTTCAAACTATAAAATAAAATATATTAGTTGATTTAATTGTAAAGTGCTTTTAGTTTCTTTTTCTACAGAGCATTTAAAGAAACGTTTGATTTTACAAAATATATCACGTGTCTATGAAATACAAATTACAAAAAAAGTGTCCACAGTATGATTTGTTTGTTTATTTCTGATATTCGCGCAAATATACACAAGTGCTATTTTCGTTAATCGTCCCTACTTTTGAACTAATAGACAACAGTACCCACCGTTAATTCTTGAACTACGCTAATCAAGTAGTGGGATTGGACCGTCACTCTTATAATGCGCCCATTGCCCTAAAGTGCGGAACCCATTTTTACAGATAAGACCAAGCTATGAATCCTTAGGTTCACAGTCCAACTCGCTAACCATTAGCCTATGCTCGGCCTCAGGAATTAATATAAAACAAATGAAATAAAACAAAACAACTGATATTAATTTTTTTGGAGTTACAAGTAAAACACTTTTTTTGTGACTTATAAATTTTTAAGGGAGAAAATAGGATAAGTTATTGTGTTTCTTACTTAACATTGTTTTTGATTTTACATGTGAAATATTTTGTTCACAAAGATATTTTCAAACAGGTCTAGTTCTTTCTTTGTCCAGCAAGTAAAGTAAAATAACGTTAAGTAACTTCGTTAATTCGTATTATTATTGTAATGTGTGGTGAGTTACTACGTAACTTTATAATGTATAATTTCAGATAAAAATTTAGCTAAAAGTAAAAATTAACGTGAAGGTGACAGAGTTGAGCAACTATCTTGCTGGAATAATAGTAATTAAAAACGTTACCTTACCTAAATATTTTTGTTTTTTCACTTCCTTACTGGGGCCTTGCAATGTGTGTTCAGAATTTTAATTAGCATGTAGAGCATTACATTACATTGAGGTAATCAGTGAATTACATCGTGATATAGAATAACAATGCAAAGCCTATATATATATATATAATAGAAATTGATTCAATCACATTTCTGCTGTTCCCCCGGTGGGACAGTGGTACTTTAACAGACTTACAATGGTAAAATTCTGGGTTGGATTCTCGCAGTAGACAGAGCAGATAGCCCAATGTGGCTTTGCTCTAAAATAAACAATCTTTTCTGCTTATATTATTTTCGTAAGTATTTTTACTATGGTTGGTGAAGGATGTATAATTGAAAAATATTACTCAGTTTTGAATATTCGGTAATTTAACAATTTGAATGCAAACACTGTTGCTATGGCATATCACTATTGTTCTAAATTCTTTTGATGTGAATATAAAATCCTGCTTGTTTTGGGAAGATCGTGAGTATAAGTTATGTGAATTGATTAAGTTATGACGTTCATAACATATTTTATTTATTTTTAGATTCGGTTCATAACTACTTAAAGTATGTTCTCATTAAAATTTCTGTATGAAAACCCAATCGGCGCTCTAATCACCAAGCACCGATCAAGAAAAGGTGAAGTTGTGCGTGCCAGTAAATGTTTTTCATCCATCAGTGATCCTCTGTGGGAATCTTACGTTCGTTCAATACCACAAGCTCAGTATTATCGTAATGTACTGATGCAAGGATATTTTGTACCGCCATCCATCTTGGAAGGACTAGAAAATTTTGAAATAAGGCCTCATGACATATTTATTATCACTTATCCAAAATCTGGTAAGAAACATTGAATTGCCATTGATTACTTGAAGTCTTGAAAGGAATTTTTATCATTATTTATTTGCTATAAACTAAATAAAGAAAATAAGGGGGAAATAAAAATCTGAAGTGACAAATACAGACTTAGTTTTTTCTAGCTTTTGTTAAGGATCTGTACAATATTTGTAGTTCAGTATTGTTTCATCATATCTCTGACTTTCAGTCTAAACATTTTAGTTTTTGTTTATATTATTTACAAAGTATCATCTAAACTACAGTTAACTAAGATTTTAAGTCCTTTGGTGTTTTGTTTACAAAAGAGCTAATTAACTATTGCCGTATACACACGAGTTGCCCTGAAGCGTAAAGTGACTCAGTAATCACAAATATATAAAACCGAGCTATATATATCCTAATTGTACAAAGATTAATTTTCCCTGGACTTCCAAATATCCACTCATGTTTAATATACAAAAATTCCCGCCGCTGTTATTAAAGCACATTTACTCAACTGTATTATTCTATTCTGTGCGTGGTGCATTTAATATAGCTTCAGATTGTCAAAATGATGCTCATTCATGCAATTTTTTTCCATTTTTATTTATGAATGAAACTTCTCTATCGAAAGAATAAAACATACATTTTTCGTAAAAAAAAATCTTACGAGTTATAATCTAATGTAGAAACTAAAATTTCTTCTAACTGTGTGCTCGCTCACCTGAAATCTTGTTTTGTTTGAAGCATTTGGTTCGTTTTCTTTATGTAAGTAAAATTTTATAAAAAGATATACGTTCATGTTGTTGGTTATTATATATATGAGTCAAGCAGCAGTGAAGTCAGATCTGGAAATGGCGTCTAGAAAATGTTTTATGACTGACTTTATGCATCTTAGATGAGCTGATTCTGAATCTGAGTAATGCTACTTAGGCATCTTTGAGCGTTTTGAGATATTCAAGATGGCGACAAGGTTAGCTGCTAAAACATATATTAAACATTTCATCTTCTACTTGCGATATATATATGTGTTTGCACGTAGGTTTTTGACGACTCTGATTTCAACTTTGCATTTTTAATCGCTCTTGGATCAGTGCTTTATTTAATATGACGGTTACGATTGTGGTAAATGCCTATTACACCGATACCATAGCTCATGATCAGTATTTTCAGGAGTTAGCAGTATCTAAGTATAATGTAGGCATATCCTAAATATACATGTATTTAAATAAATTAATTTCATTGTATATATATTATTCTGTAGTTTCTTCATTCTCAAGCTCCTCATCGTTTTCGTCAATGTGATTCTCTACTGTTTTAGTCCAATTATTATTGCAACAGCTGTTGCTTTCACTACACCTACAAGACGACTGACTTACTACACAGCTACACCTGGCTATTGAACAAGATCGTTTATTTGTATACCCACATCAAGTCAGCTGAAGTATTTCGAGTGGAGCTACTGGCTTTTCAACTGATAACAGGAATAGGAGTCTTTGTCAATATGTTACGCTCCCATCCAAACTCAGTTGGATCAAGATCTGAGAGATCTTCGTTTAATGCTGCCATCCATATATATGTCTGAAGATGAGTTCTCTTGGCATTATCAGCAAAGGCTTCTGATGTGGATGAGAAACACTTTAGCTTTGTACTACCCTTCATAGCGTACGTCAGACATGTTGGTATGAATCATCTTACTTCCATAGCATGCGGCTATAAATGGCGTTACTTCTCTAATGACCTCATTCATGTCTGCATTAGAATCTTCAAAACGGTCATGTTTGTGACTTGTTGACAGTATTTTCACAGCAGTTGCTTTTCTTATTTCCCACATATATGAAGTTGAATTACATCCAGAAAGTTCAAAAGCAACTAGAAGATATTTTACAATCTGTGAGTGCTTACACGCAATTTACCAAATATCAGTGACTGTACGCTGTCCATGGACTTATGTTAATAAATGGCCCCTTATTGTTATCAACAATGGGCATGAATTCTTGACTTGGGATTGGAGAGCTACACTGTAATGCATGATATATGTGACGTTGTCTTGCAGTGCGTTTGATGCTAAAATCATAATGATGGTCAAAAACAAGACTGGGACAACTTTGTTAATAAACATACAGTAAAAATATCGACGCAGTCTTGCACTGTATTACCCACACGAGGGCACACTCATATATAATGACAGCGTTTGGTAAAGGCACAGTGAGATTTGACTACTCAACCTGTAGTTTTTCTTCAGAGTTGGCTTATATTTGGTAATTCTCATTTGCCCATTGTTATCATACACTGATGTTAGAACAGGTCAAGTTCATACCTAAAAAGTTTTTCGGCTTCAATGTTACGTGAACCTGCCAAGCCAATTACTCTTACAAAATGGAATTCTTAAAGCTGCAAGGCTCGCCTGCAGTCTGGATTCTTTTTGTTTGGTTCAATTTGACACCTTTCTCCACAAAATATGTAATTCTGTTTTGAAGAAAAGTGGTTGACTTTCAGATCTACGGGATCGTTTAGAGGCTGGGGGCTCATCAAAAGAACGACCTTGTTCTTTGCCTTCTCTTTTTAGTAATTTTGTTATGCGTACTGATGACGTATATGACGATACACAATTTCTGTGAAAATATATCTGAAAATTGTTGTCTTTTTTAAGCTCGTCCTTCAGCATTAAATGCAAAATGTCTCCGCTAAGTTCGCTAGATTTTATACTGGTGTTAATCCTGTCAATACCAGTACAAGAAAGAGGAGAACCCTTTTTTTCACATTTGAAGAACCATTCGTCTCTTGTGACCCCTTTATCAATATGTAATCATTAAGTTTTTGCACAAAACAGAACACGTTATCCAAACAAAACGTATTTTATTTGTAAGAAATCACGCCCCCCCCCCCGAGAAAAAAGTCAGGAAATGGTTAAATAGAAAGTGGGTTTAAAGTTTGATCATTTAATAGCAAGAACCTTGTAAAAAGTAGGTCTATTCAAATAACAAAATACACTGTGCCTATTGTGAAAAGTAATCAATGGTCAAAATATACACTGATGATACTCGCAAGTAAGTTTTAAGGTTGATCTTTTCACAGCAACAGTCTTAGTGATATTAAACCTAGCAAGCGGCTAACTTTAAAAATACTGCTGCAAAATTTCATCAAAGGGGAGCCCTGACTGCCCGATTGACTTACAAAGCGAACTAATGTGTTGGGTTGGGAGGCGCCGAATTTATATGTCACACAGGGCGCCATCAAGCATCGATATTTGAATGTCGTCAAATTGCTAAACAGTCAAGACCACCATACATTACATATACCTGTGTATATATCAGTCTATGCAATAATGCTGATGACGTCATTGGAAGGTATGATTTATCTCAGGTTAAGTACTAGGAGGTGGCACTGCTTATTATACAAATGTCAATTAAATGATAAAGGCCTATCTAAGTTAATTTGATTGTGTAATGTATAACCTCAGATTTTATTTAACACGAATTATAGGCCTACTTAGCCTATAAGTAGACTTTCTGCAGGAAAATATTAAGTGATTTCACCCTTAAGCCTACATTTGTAGTGGAATTAAACATAATTTAATTATCTACATGATGCTGCTATTAATATAACACAGGCCTGCGAATTTATACTTCATAAAAGTTGTTTTGGTTTTAATAACGGATTTTCCATAATTCAGCTACGTGGATTTCGAAAATATTTTTTTTCTATCAAGTAAGGATTTTTTACAAATCGGGAAGAAAAAGTAATCTTACTTAGATCAAATTATATTTTGTTTACAACAATGAACATTTTATATGAT